AAGATTTTACTAGTTAAGGTTCACGCAATTTCACAGACACATACCATTGGGAGTAATTCCTATAGCTTTAGAACATCTCAATCTGCTAGATTTAGCTCATTATAAACACATCTAAAGGATAAGTTCACCTTTTTTACAGAAAATATTAAATGCACTTTTTTTTGCAGGTAAGAAAAAAATAATGTGCATTTATGCTTTTGTTTCTGGAGCCTCTAAAGCAGAGGTCTCCAAACTGTGGCCCTTTGCTTGTCTTTATCTTGCCCTTGGACACCAACAATGGGGCCCTTTTCCTTCTACTGACACCGATGATGGGGCACCATTTCTTTTCCAGATATTGAAGATTGGCACTCTTCCTCCTCCTGCTACAAGGGGCTGTTCCTCAGATTGACACCAAAAATGGAGCACCATTCCCCCCACTGACACCAGTGATAAGGCACGATTCCTTCCCCTGATACCAACAATTGGCACTATTCCTCCCACTAAAACCAATAATGAAGCATCGTATACTTCTATTGACGCCAAAGCATTTTCTATTCACACTGGCCACATTCCAGCCCCAAAGAGTCTGAAGGACAGTAAACTGGCCCTTTGTTTATAAACTTTGGAGACCCCTGCTCTAAAGCATTGCTCCAGCTATCAGCAGATCGCTGGTGCCATGCAGGTCTCCTGCAGACCTGTCAGTGTATCTGTGTGTTTGTACATCCTGTACAGGCAAACAGAAATACTGACATGAAGATTCGAAGAACTACCACGGCGCTCCACAGTACTGTGGTTGTTCATTGAGAACTACAAGCAGATAGCTGCAAAGGCTGTCAGAAGTTTGTAGTGTTTTCAGTCACAGAATACTGTGAATGAGTGACACATCTGGGCGGGCAGAGCCCTGCAGGGTTGCGTTTTTTTCTTTTTTTAAAATTGTGACAGCTAGCAGGGAGGAAAAGATCCCCATTAGCTGTCACAACAGGGAGCAGGGTGGAGTGGAGAGGAGAGCGGGCCGATCCGTTCTTAACATATTATATATGGGTGTAACAAGTAATATGCAACAAAGGTGAACTTATCCTTTAACAGAACAAGCAGCGCAAGATGGGAATTCTTATCGGTTTGAAACAAACATGGCATGTGTTAAAAATTCCTTGGAAGAAATCCAGGTAGCACTGAAGGGTACAACAGCGGGGAGGAGCCAGGGACCAGATGGGTATACTGTGAGATGATATAAAAAATTTAAAGATCAATTAGTTCCAAAACTGAGTTTATATATGAATGCATTAGGACAGGGGTTGGAAATGAGGGAGGAATCCTTGCAAGCTCATATAACAATCATTCAGAAAGAGGGAAAAGAAGGAACTCAATGTGCTAGCTATAGACCGATCTCATTGCTAAATATGGATATCAAATTAAATGCAAAGATCCTGGCAAATAGGTTGAAAGATCTAATGCCGGAATGGATCCTTTTTTTTTTTTTTTTTAGGTGACAACTACTTGCCTGCTTATTGACGGACCAACCATACTTGACTGCAGCCTGCCACCATCCAAATAGGGAAAAAAAAAAAAAAAAAAGGTATATCAATGTCTCACTGGCACTTGTGTACAAAGATTTTAGGAAAGGATGTCTTCATTGACAATAAAAGCTAGCTGCCATAATACTGTAATCCTCTCCATAAAAAACTTATAGCTGGAATGTGACCGATAGAAGGAAGCCACACTTCCATGTGTTTAATCTTTGTACAAGAGATTCATAAAAGTCCACTTCTGCCTGTTAATGTGAACAAAAACATGTCAATTAAAACGTAATGTTGAATTTTTTTTTATTATTGAAATTCTAAAATGTTAAATGGATGAGGGAAATAACGGATTTAACCACTCATAACCACTTTTCATCTCATCCATTATGGCAGCTGTCATGCTCAATTCAATATCCACAGAAAATTCTTCATAGCAGACCTAGAAGACTGTTTCTAGAAGGAAGAATTTGATTTCAGCTACAAGAACTATGCCTGTTTTATTCCTTAGCAACACCTTTCATTTACTGGTACATTGCAAGTAGTCTCTTCAGCTGAGGACAGAAAAAACTTTCTGCATCACCAGTCCATTTACAGTAGTAAGAAGCCCTGACTGCCACCCTTTAATGGAAAGTAAACTTCTAATTTCATAGGGGAGGGGGGGGGGGGGAAGCAGGTAAACCATTTACAATGCATATTAGTTTAAAAAGGTACATGTTCTGTGTTCTGTACAATTCCAATATCCTTTTAGAAACTATTTACATTCTAATGGGTTCGAAAGAGTAACATGTTTATGAAATGTAGCTAAAATCACACATACTGTATGCTCCCACATTTGCGATAAACAATTAATGCCAATGGACAAAAGACGTAGTTATTCACACAGTGGATAGGTGCAAAAACTGACACTGAAGTTAAAAAAAAAACCCACATTTTATATGCTGTAATATAGGTTAACATAACTAAATAACCGGTGTAGTCATTTTAAAGCTACAAAGCCTAGGCAACAACACGTTATAAATATCCTAGTCAACCAAACTGCACATAAAGACCAGCTAAAGCAAACCTGTAGGATTTTCTTTCAGCACTACGGGTAAATCTTCTTAAAGGGGGGACAATGCAGTAATAGAAACCTGACAGACAATGGTTCCAGTGGAGCATGAAGGCTGCTTTTCACTTTTGTGATTGATGGTTTTTGTTATCAATGGAAATGCTTCAAAATACATGTGTCATGATGCATGTTGACACACATCAATCCATCATGGCCCATGCCAACGTGTTTTGACATTGAGTTTTAAATTTCAGTACAAAGTGCATTGCAATGCACATCAACACCTGGTTTCATTGACTTGAATGGAAAACACATATTGGGTAAAAACACAGAGGTGATCTATTGGGGTTGATTTACTAAAGGCAAGTAGGCTGCTCAGTTTGCAAAGGGCATTTGCACTTTGCAAGGGAATTTTCCTGAAAGCTCAGCTGACTGTCATCCTATCATGTGCAAGGAAAAATGCTGTTTTGTTTGTTTTTTTTTTCACCTTACACGATTAAATATTTTGCAAATTGAAACTTCACCACAGTTACTAAACTCTGGGGCAAATTCCCTTGCAAAATGAACAGCATAATTGCCTTTAGTATATCAATCCTATTGTACACTTAAAAAAAAAAAAAAAAGGCCTGTAAAATAACTGTGGTGTCCATCCAGGAAGTAGATTGTAAGACACTGGCCTTAAATTTGAGACAAATCACTTGTAGAACTGTCACTCGAAGACACAACTGAAGTTCACCTATTTCCAATACACACCAAAGACTGATATTTTGTGGCTTCACATACTATGCCAAATAATGCAACCAGTTTAACCACCTGCAAACTGATGGTATTGCAATATACTAGCATGCAAAAAAAATAAAATAAATACAAATCACAGCTTATAGCACAGCTAGGGCAATAGTTTTATGGAAAAATAAGCTGAATATTGGCATCAAAGTAACCCCTAGCATGTACAACCCTGATTTCACAAATGTTGGGGCCCAGTGTAAAAGTGAGTGAAAATCTCAAACCCATATTTTATCTACAATAGAAAACATATCACATTTTTAAACTGAACAAATATACCGGTTTAGGAAAAGTATATGGTAATTTTAAAATTGATGGCAGCAACACGTCTCACAAAGGTTGGGACAGAGCCATGTTTACCATGGTGTAGCATCTCCTCTTCTTTTAACACTCTGTAAATGTCCGGGAAATGAGCTGACCAGTTGCTGAAGTTTTGGGAGAGAAATAATATCCGATTCTTCCCTGGTATAGGGTTCTAATTGGTCATGTAAGCACCTGGACTCTTCCGCTGCAAAGCCATGCTGTTGTCATAGATGCATTAAGTTAGTTTTTTTTGCATTGTCCTGCTGTATTATGCCAGGACTTCCCTGAAAAAGCTATGGTCTGGATGGGAGCATATGCTGTTCTAAAACCTAGATATATCTTTTAGCACTGATGGTGCCTTTCCAGATGTACAAGCTGCCCATCCCATATGCACCCTTACACTCCTATACTATCCATCATGCAGGCAACTGAGCATTTCTAAAAAGTTGGAAGGTAACTCCCCTCTCTAGATTAGAGGAAGTGGAGCCCATGGCTGCCCAAAAAAAATGTAAAATTTCGATTCTTCTGACCATAGAACAGTTTTTCACTTTGAAACAGATTTTAAATGAGCTTTGGCCCAGAGTAGATGGCAGCATTTCTGGATCATGTTCAGACATGGCTTCTTTACCTTACATTTTTGGATGGCACAGCAAACTGCGTTCCCAGACAGTGATTTTTAGAAGTATTCCTGAACCCATACAGTGATGTCCATCACAGAATCATGTACGGTTTTAAATGCAGTGCCACACGAGGGCCCAAAGACCATGGGCATCTAATATTGCGTTTTGGCCTTGCCCCTTGAGCAGAGAATCCCCCAGATTCTCAGAATCTTCAGATATTATATACTGTAGATGAGGATATAGTAAAAGTCTTTGCAATTTTATGTTGAGGAACATTATTCTGATATTATTCAACAATTTTTAGACGCAGCTTTTCACAGATTGCTGAGCCTCTGCTGATCTTCTGAGACACTCTGACTCTCCAAGATGCTCTTTTTACACCCAATCAAGTTACTGACCTGTTGCCAATTAGCCTAAGAAGTTGCAAAATGTTCTTCCAACTCTTTATTAGTACCACTTTGCCAGCTTTTTGTTGCCCACAGCCAACTTTTTTGCAACATATTGCTTCCATCAAACATTTGATGTTTTCGATTTCCTATTGTGAATATAGGTTTGTGAGATTTGCAAATTATTATATTCTGTTTTTCTGTAGATTTTACGCAGCGCCCCAACTTTTTTTTTTTTTTTTTTTGGAATTGGGGTTGTTTGAGCAACAATTTAATTAGTACAATCCAAATCAATATACATTTAAAAGTCAAGTTAAAATTAAAAAAAAAAGTGTGCAGAAATTTTTCTACATTTTACCTTCTCAAGGTTTCAATACGTTGCTTCAAAAGCCTGTTTTCTGTTCGTAACCTCTGCAAGACAGAGTGATCAAAATCAGATTGTTTCCAATCCAAGAACAGAATTTTAGCAGCATGGTTCAGTTTGTTTTGGTTGGGAAAGGAGATTAATGGAGGCACAATCACAGTATTACATCCTGGTGTATTGCATTATTTTGGGCATTATTGTGCAGTATTGGGCTGTCTACTGTATCAGAACAGCTGTGCAGTGGAGAGCTGAAATGCAGGTGAATGGCATTCAGAATGAATAGGACTGTAAGCAAACTGTGTTACCAAAAAATGACTCCAACACAAAAGTGTGAATCCATCCTTGGGCACAGCAGGAAAGCACTATTACTAGATTACTAATTATAGTATTATTTCAACAACTACTACTATAATTACTAGTAAAAGCTTACCAACACAGTACGCTTCACTTAAAAACAAAAATTAGGCTGGCTTTATATCCATGTGCTTTTATTTAATGGATTTTCTATTGAACACAAAGAAACATCTGCACGTCAACATTTGCTTTAAGGTGCACATCAACACATCACAACGCATTTATGTGCACTATAAGAAGCCTTGCCTTTGAATACAAAGTGCATTGCAACAATCAATAATGCGCAACACCACATGTCTACAAACGATGTACATTTTAATACTTTATGGATTTCACCAGCCAACACATCAGCAGGAAAATTGCACAGACGTTAGCAGGCCCCAAATGTTTTTGGGAGAGATCTTAAAGAAACTGCCTCTTAAAAACAGTTTCTGGTTATAAAATTCACCAATTAATGTAGCATGTTCAGATTCTGGAGAAACGTTATAATAAATAGCCTTACATTGTATTAAAATCCCTCTGGGTTTAACAATTTTAAATATATAAAAGAGCAGGCACTGAACAAACAGCAGTATTGAAAGATCTGTACTGCAAGAAACGCAATTGATGGGTAGGAGATTCACATATAAAAAAGGTGGCAAAACCACTTAGCTTTCACAGCTCATGACTTTCCAATGACAGCAAGCATAAAAACAGGAATTTTGACTTACCATAAAACATTTTTTGGAGTTCATTAGGAGGCACAAGGGGATATTTAGAGACAGAGTTATGCAGCTTACCATTAGAAGAATGGACACTGGCAACCAATCAGAGCTGTTGGGATAGCCCAGTATAAGCCCTCCCATCATACCTCAGTATTTTAAATAAGCAATAGGAGCAGTGAATTACAAGAACAGAGGGGTGGGACGTGTGTCCCCTAATGAATTTGTGCCAAAGGATTTACGTAAATTAAAAAAAATTATGTTTTCTTAAAGCTGAATTCCAGACAATAGACATAATTGACCATTGTAACAGTGCTGGAGGAAGGAATAGTGTAAGTAATATGCGTTAATCTAGGACCCCTAGAATAAATGAGTTTTTAATCCTTGCAGTGTGGGGGTAATTATTCAGCTTTAATCAATCATGCATTAGGGAACACATGAGAATATTCAATGACAGGGATGTGCCAAAGCAATCCAACTGAGAGGTGAGCAACAGCAAATAAAATGCTAACATACCTACAAATAACCACAGGTAACAGAGGAAACTCAGGAGTTCATTGAGCAACCTTGACAAACTTGTGGCAGAAACTGGAATGAGAAGAGGCCTGATCATCCACCTGGTAAAATCTAGAAAAATATGAACAGAAGACAAAAGCGGTCATGCCCCACCATGACACACCAACATCTCTGGTGAAGTGCGCTTTACCAGAAAAATGGGGAGCCCGGTCCTTGAACAAATAGGCTTGAATGGTGGAGCTGCAAAACCCTTATGGGACCCCGCAGGAATGGAAAAAAAAAAAAAAAAGAAGGGTAGTCAGTCTAGTGAAGACAGTGGCAAAAAGACAAATGCGAACAGCCCGAACCACATTCAAACATCCTTGGGATGTTTTAGCTTAAAAAAGAAATGGCAGAACAATGTGCTGGTTAATGTGGAAGGGAGAAACCACCTTTGGCAAAAAAACAAAATAGAAATTGGCCTCAATACAACTTTGTCCTTGTGCAACACAGGAAAGGGCTCTTACAAGTTAAGGCAGAAAACTCAGAAACCCACCTGATCGAGGTGATGGCAACCAAGAAAACATTTGCTTATAAGCATGGACAAGGTGACGTCCCTGAAAACTTCAAAGGGAGACTTGTGAAGAGGCAACATAACCAAGCTGAGATCCCATGGATGCGCCAGGTAACATTCTTTGAAAACTTCATGAGTGACACCCTGAACAAATGTCTTCACTAGGAAGCAAGATGGGAGTCTGTGATAAAGAATAGCCAAATCTGATATGTGACTCTTCACAGTGCTCAGGGCCAGGTGTTGATCAAGTCTACCCTGAAGAAAAGAGACCTGATTAATTCCACAAAGAACTGCTTAAGATGGAACTTCCTGGCCTCACGCCACCTCAAATACACTTTTCAAGTACAATAGTAGACCCTTGTGAAAAGTGGAATTTCCTAGGTTCAAGGAGGATAGGAATAACAGGATAGGGGAAGCCCCTATCCTTGGGGACTCAGGCTTCAACACCAGACCACTAAGACCAATGATTGTGAAGCAGGATGGCAAACTGGAACTTGGGGTCGAAGATCCATGTGACCCAGAAGAGTCCACAGAAAGCCTGCCAAGAGAAGGATGAGGTCTAAGTCCCATATTTGTCTGTGCAAGTTCAGTGTTATGAGAAGCACTGAAACGCCCTCTATCTTCATCCTGCAAAGCAGCCGAGGAAAAAGATGCAGAGAAGGAAAGGCATACATCAAGTCGACTGTCAACTGAGGAAGTCCGTCTGTCAAATTTCCACTCATGGATTGTGTATAGCGGACAAAGCTGGAACATGTATATCTGCCCAGGCCAAATAAGATTGGCTTTCCTTAGAGCCATGACATTTCTATTTCCTCTTTGATGGTTAATGTAAGCCAGCGTCATTGCAAGACTGAAAACAAATCGGGTAACCCTGCAGCCAAAAGGTCCAGTCCTGAAAAGGTCAACTTAATTGCTTGTAGTTCCAGAATGTAGATCAAGACACGTTTCTACCATGAACCAAGCCCTAGCAAAGACAGGGTGTCCAGGACACCACAAGACCGGTATCTGCTGTGAGAACCTTCCACACCAAGGTAGTGAAGGACTTCCCTGACTTGTGAACCTCCAAGGCCACAGTCAAAATAGTCTTTTTTAAGAGGCATATGCAATGAACTTTTTTGTCCCACACAGACAGAATGTTGAGCTTTAACACTCCGGAGTCAGCAAACAAGAGTACCTGAAAGGACATGATCATCAAACCCAAGACCCGCATGCAGAAGCAGAGGGTAGGTTGGCTCTGGGACTGTAAAAGCCAACCATGTGAGCCGATTGTCTGCAGTTTCATCTGTGGAAGAAAGACCCTGGTTCAGGGTCCACCAAAACTTTGTAGTGTCTGAGCAGTCTGTTAGATATTGGCCACTAGGGCCTGTGTCTACTGCTTCCTCTATTAGAGGTTGTCCAAATACCCTGAATAGAAAAACCTGTGTACAGAGAAGAAGCAGTATACAGGCCAACACTTCGGAGAATACCCAAGGAGCAGCAGACGGTCCAAAATTAATAGTCAACAAACTGGAAGTATGTTGTACCCACAGCAAAAGCAGGCTGATGAGCTGGGAAAATGTGGATGCAAAAGGTAAACTTCTTTAAAATCTAAAAAGGCCAGAAAGTCTACACGGAGGAAAGCAGTAAATGACCTCACAGATTTCATGCAAAATGTTTGTACCTAAAGAAAGGTGTTGAGAACCTTCAGATCCAGTATGGGGCGAACACCTCCTGGGTTACTCACAAGCTACGCATAACCACTGTGGAGCAGAAAGGTATAATGCTGCCTGTGACTAGGTCACTCTGTGGCAGCTGAAAGAAGGAAAGTCCAAGACATTGCTGACAGGGCTGGATCAAGCCGATCTGATGGTGCAGTAAAAGAAAAAAAAAGTCAGGGGGCATAATATCAACACTGTGTGTGTTTGTCACTGAAAGTCTGTCACACAGTGTGAGAAACACAGTGTCATTACCTGGGAAACACTAGTATGCATTAGACTGTCACTAAATTAGGGTGATTAAATAACCCCCCCCATAACAGATGTCCTATCAGAGTGCCCCCTTACATCAGGTGTCCCCATCAGAGTGCCCCCTTACCCCAGGTGTCCCCATCAGAGTTCCCCCTTACATCAGGTGTCCCCAATAGAACTGCTCCATCAACTGTCCTCATCAGAGTGTCCTCTTACATATGATAGGCTATCGCCATCAGAGCGCCACTGTAGATCCAGCCCTGACTAAGGATCCGAGTCCAATCAAAGTGTGAACTGCAATCAGTGTACACACTAGGGTGTGTCATAGCCCTAGCAAGAGGCAGAGATACCACTCGTGTGTGCCAGGCCTTTCTAGGTGCCTCACATCAGAAGAAGATACTGTTGTAGCACCAATTTGATGTATCACAGTACATACATCAACAAAACAGTAAAGTGTTGCACCAGCTAAATACTGTGTCTGTACCAGACTTTTAAAGTGTTGCAGTACCTGAAGGAGGAGAAAGAGCACACCAACAGGCTTCTAATAAATAGTTACAAGCCCCAAGTACTCACTGAAGAATGTCCAGGTGGTCAGGAGATGCCTTCATAGGGCATTTAGTGCAACTCAGACAGACAGTCTTTGCGCCCCTCTGGTGGGAATACTAAGGTGTCTTCAGGAACAAACTTTCATCAGATAGGTGCAGCACAGTCCTAGATGTCAAAAGCGCTCTACTGCGAGCTACACTCAGCAGAAGACATCTAATCTCCAAGGACACTAGCAAACAAACTTCGAATTGGTTACAAGAGGTTACAACTGTCCAATCTGCTTAAGGTATCTGCATAACCCGATGTCTCTGAATATCCTCGTGTCCCCCGATGAACAATTAACAAAAGCAATTTCTGAACAACTGCAGTTAGCCTGGAAAGTTCCCCCTATTTCCCCCCCAATAAAAAAAATAAAACAAAAACTAGTACTTCTATAAACTGCGGAAAATAAAAAACAACAAAATGCAAAATGTACAAAATAGTTAATTATTCATATTAAAGCATTAGGTTAAGGGGATCCCACTGTTGCTCTACTCTTCATCTTACAAATAATTTGTCTAATCGTACAAAGACTTTTTTGTTTTCATAGCAAAAGAAATGTTTCTTAAATATAAAATCATTAAAATGTATTTAGGTGAATATTACAAATATTATTTCTACCTGCATAATTTATTATGTAGCCACATAGTGCTGGGTCTCTAGATGCTGCATAGTTTGGTATGGCTATAGTCATGCCCCTGAGTAATAAATTTGCTGCATACCTTGATCTCAACTTGTTCCTCCATTTCTTTTGTCTTTATTGTAGTGTATTCCTTTTCTAACCTGAAAACACACACAAAAACGGTTTACTACCAAAACAAAAATGAAAGGAAATATTGCGCAAGTAAATTCATTTGGTTCAGTATCAGCTGATATCTACAGAATCTTTTTAAAAGATAAAAAAATGAAACAAAGTCCGAAGTTATAATTATCCTTTAAGATTACCTGAAAATCAAAACGAAAGACCTTTTACAAGAAAGAATCTCAATATATGAAAAGACGACCTTCGATCTGTATTAGCATTTCACAGCAATACCTATATTAACTAGTTGCCGACCGCAGATAGCCGAATGACGGCTGCACTGCGGCCGGCCAGTTCTGAGTGGATGTCATATGACGTTCTCCCAGAACGCGCTCTCCTGCGCGCCCCAGGGGGCGCGCACCCGGCGATCTCCATGATTGCTGTGTCCTACGGACACAGCTGATCACGTGATGTGGTAAAAGGCCAATCACAGCGGCTTTTTACCACGTGATCAGCGGTGTCCAATGACACGCTGATCAGAGGGAAATGCAAGTGCCGGTACTCGGCTGCACTTTCCTCACGCTGTCAGATCGTGAGGAAAGTACTGCCGAGAACCGTCAGTTGTCAGAGCGGGGATCGGCACGGATGATCAGTGCCCTGATGATCGGTGCCCAGCAGTGCCACCCGCAAGTTCCGCCCACCTGAGCCCAGCAGTGCGCCCACTAGCTCCGCCCACCTGTGCCCAGCAGTGCACCCACCTGTGACACTCTGCAGTGCCGCCCACCAGTGCCGCCCCACCAGTGCCGCCCACCAGTGCCCAGGGGTTGTGCCAGTCAGTGCCGCCAGTCAGTGCCGTCTATCAGTACCCATCATCAGTGTCACCTATCAGTGCCGCCTATCAGTGCTGCATATTAGTGCCGCCTATCCGTGACACCTCAGTGCTGTCTATCAGTGCCGCCTATCCATGCCACCTCATTAGTGCTGCCTATCAGTGCCCATCGGTGCTGCCTATCAGTGCCGCCTATCAGTGCTGCCTCATCAACGCACATCAGTGAAGGAGAAAAAATACCTGTTTGCAAAAAATTTTAAAAAAAAAAAAGTTTTTTGTTTCTATTATAAAATTTTTCACTTTTTTTATTTATAGCGCAAAAAGAAAAGCGCCCAGTGGCGATTAAATACCACCAAAAGAAAGCTCTATTTGTGAGAAAAAAATGATCAAAATTTCATATGGGTACAATGTTGCATGACCGCGCAATTGTCAAAGTGCGGCAGCGCTGAAAGCTGAAAATTGGCCTGGTAAATAAGGGGGTATAAGTGCCTGGTAGGCAAGTGGTTAAAACAGATTAAATGCTTCCCCCTCCCTAATAACTGGGATCAAAAGGATTAAAGGGAAAAAATAACAAAAAAAGGCATCAGGGCTGTTATATTGATGTCTGCTTTACTTTAGTGAATAATGAGTGGGAACAAGTATGCAAGCTGGGAGTTCTGACTTTGCGACCTAGAGAGGCAAGGATACGAATGGCAGCTCCAGAACTTGATTCATTTGAATAGGCAGCCACAAACCACAGCAAACCAAAAATCACTCCTTCAAAAATGTTGACTAGTATAGTACAACGCAATGTGCACTAGTGAGCTACCACAGGCTAGGGATGCACTGGAACGCAGGTGTGTTTGGGGAGTATTTACAACTTACAGAACATAGGTTACCATAGTGCCTCCGTATTTGCTAGAGAAATAAATTTTGCTTGGGTAGGTCCTTAAGCTGTAACTCACCATTATTTCTCCAAACATACTTTAAAGCTTTACACACTGCTTCTCCATTTGACCCTAAACTCTAAAATTATTATATTCTTATTCATATACGTATTTATTAAGATAAAATGTGATTTCTTAACTTTCAGAAATACTTTTGTTTCCAAATACAGGTGTTCCCTTACTGAGAACTCCCCTCTGGAAGCAGTCATAAGAAGAGTTGTGTTCCCTCAATTCCCCTTTTGTTAGACCTGGGTCCACTATGCTCACAATTCCCCTAGACACTAGTCTGGTAAAATGCCGTGCAGTACCACTTTCAGGCCTCACTCACACCATACATGCAGAAAAACGAACATGCAGATTTCACTTGCAGAGACATCAGTTTACATGTGCACTTCAATAAGTTTTATATATGTTGCAGATTCCTGCGTATAAAAAAAAATCTGCACATGACACTGGTGTTGTGGTTTGAACAGGGCACATAGAGAACAACTGATTTTGTTGTGCCCTTGCAAAACGTCTGCAGAAAAACACACAGTCTCTGCACCATGGTGTGAACGAGCCCTCAATGAGAGATACTGGGAAGACATGGGAGTCTACAACTCCCCATGTGACCTGCCCACTATCACTATATCACTTGCCCAGGAGTATCACTGCCCACTGAGAAAATGTTCATTATGCTATTAAGAATAAAAAATTCTAAATTCAGATTCAATTCATTGTGCCCACAACCGGTTACCAAATGAACGGTTCGTCTGCCTCGCTCTTCAAAAGGTTGAGCATCCCTGATATACGCTCTCAGTACAATCTTGATTACTACAAGTCAACATAAAGGGAAACACTGGTTAAATATTGCTTTTGTATAAATCACATACTTTTTCATCTTTTTTGCATTGTATTTGACTTGGTAAGCCACTTGGATTAACTTTTCTGGACCCCCATCAAACTGATGTGGAATGACTTTTTGAAAGTGCTGGAAAAAACAAATGAAATACATGTTATGGCCAGAAAAGAAAAGTTCTTAAAATTCACATAATCCTACAAGTGGCCAATTATACAATAAAATCCCAGTATATATCAATCTTACAGCTTGCAATGTTCACAAATGCAAGTGTGCAAAACTTCTCACAGTGAAACATAAGACATAGGCTCAAAACAAAGTTTTATTTGGTCTTATTTAACCATTAGCCACCCGGCCAATAGCTGTTTGGCGGCTGGAAAAATGCTTTAGATTTCCGGGTGGATGCCATACAGCGTCCTCCTGGGCATGCGCAGTTTGCGCGCTTGCAGAGCCGTGCAGCAGTGCGATCTGTCACCGGCAGTGTACCTCGGACACGGCCGATGACAGATCTGAGTACCAGCCCCCCCCCCCGGTTGCCGGTACCATGTGACCTGCTGTGACCAATCACAGCAGGTCACATGACAGTTGTATACAATGGATGGCTTCATTCATGCCATCCATTGTATACTAGTGTCTAGCTGTGAATGGTCACAGTGATCACATGTGATTAGCTGTGGCCAAATCACAGCTAAGCACAAAAAAAAAAAAAAAAAAAATACCCTGATGTCATTCAGGTAAATGCTTGCTTATAGCAAAGTAATTCTTTGCTATAAGCAAATTGTGTAAAAAAAAAAAAAAAAAAACTGATCACTTCCCCAAAGTAGTACAATGTTACTATGGTAACATTGTACTACTTTGGTCATAGTGAAATATGAAAAAAAAAATCTTAAAAAAGAGGGAAAAAAAATGTAATAAAAAATTTAAAAAAATAAATAAATAAAAAAATCTATCTATATATATTTTTGTCATACTGTCACCAGTCAGTGTCCCTGATCACCGCCATGCCAGTTATACGATGATGCTGTACTGCACTGCTGACAGTATGTAAAATCATTTTTTTCATTTTCCGAAAAATTATGACAAAAAAAAACACAACTTCAAAAAGCTCGCCATTCCTCTTATGAAGTACGTCGGACTGTCTACTTTGCAAAAAGGGGTCATTTGGGAGATATCTGTACTGTTCTGATATTCTTGGACCTCAAGAAATTAGATTGGCTGTCAGTACTTCAGGATTGATCAATATTCAGATCTATACCTTAGTTTGTGAACTCTATAACTTTCCTACAAACTAAAAAATACATCCTAAATTTGGGTTATATTCAAAGACCTTGGCCTAAATTTATGAAGAACAATTATTTATTTACAAACTTTTATAACAGAAACAAAGAAAAAAGTGTTTTTCTTTCAAAATTTTCGGTCTTTTCTTGTTAATTTAGCAAAAAAAAAAAAACCCCGACGGTGATTAAATACCACAAAAAGAAAGCTCTAGTTGTGTGAAGAAAATGATAAAATTTTAGTTTGGGTACAATGTTGTATGACCGCGCAATTGTCAAAGTGTGAGTGTGCTGAAACCTGAAAAAATGGCCTGGCAGGAAGGGGGTAAAAGTGCCCGGTATGGAAGTGGTTAAATTAGTTTAAGGCCTTGCATTAAATGTGTAATGTTAAAATAAAGATTTTCTATAAATTATTTTAAAACCGTATATAAAAACATCAGTATAAACATTTAAATCTAAAATAAAAAATAAAATGCAGGCTTTTTTCTTACCTGTAACATGCCTTCCATATCTAGCTGCATTAATTCTGCCTGATTCATCTGGAGAACAGCGAGGCCTGCTCGAAAAACTATTTCTAAACCCTAGGGAATGAGAAAAATAGATAAAGCTCAAGAATAAAATCACAGACAAAAAGAAATGGCTAAACCCCCTTGGGACTTTATAGGCACTCAAATCACAACTTCTAACAAAATGTTCATTACTCTTTTTATTCATACAAATATACAGCTTGCATTAAATATATACAGCTTACATTACATAGAGTATATAAAGTCGCTTATTCATGAACAGATTGCTAGATTTGATGTGTTTCCATTCATCCAACGTGTTTCAGAGATATTAAGGATTCCACATCTCTAGGAATTAATTGAAGTATAAATAAAATTTAAATTTATACATTTAAGAGATGTGGAATTCTCAGTACCCCAAAAGAGTTTTGTATCTCTGAAACGCATTGGTGAATGAAAACAAATCAAATCTAGCAATCTATTCATGAATAAATCAGTTTATATACTCTATATATGATCTTATGAAATGTAAGCTGTATTTTTGTATGGTTTGTATCTTTAAATATTTGTATGAACAAAAAGAGTAATGGACATTTTATTAGACATTGTGATATGAGTGCCTATAAAGTCCCATGGGGGTTTATAGATTTCTCTTGGTCTATGAATTCGGGACATGGCACTTTTTGGATTACACCCATAACACTTCTGTTTAAGAATAAAATCATATATTACATAAATTTAAAAAAAGCGACAGAAAATCAGTAAATCAGAAATACGCAAAGTAACATAACTGAAGACTGGTTAATAAACCCTATATTTCTCAAATATCATACCTTGACCACACACAATTCATTTAGGCAACACCATAAAGCAAATGGCACAAATTCCAGCCATCCAGCTCTTGATTCAATCAGAACACAAAAGTTAAAAGGACTGGATTTTGCCATCTCTAACTAATAAAAACAAAAATAAATGACTTGTCTTCAGCAAGACCTCAGTGGCTCTCAGACATAAAATCCACAAAAATATAATCTTCATACGACACAACATGAAATTCGGAGAGATTCACCCACATACTTGTCTAATACACTACATCCCAAAAAAACCCTAAAATGGCTAGGGTTAATTTAAATGGACAAAATACTTTGAATGCAATTGATTGTCCATAACGTTCACTTGAATCACTGTACTTAAGAAGGCTTGTGCAAGCAAAACTCATTTGAGTTTAGTAAATGCCGATGATCAATTTAAGTCAAAAGTTTTTATTGTTGTTTTAAATGGGATATTAGACTAGTGTTGGGGAGATTTCCCCTCACGTCAAGACAGGACAGGAAGTACTGTGAAATTTCTTCAAAAAATGTAATTAGGGAAAGGTCTGAAATGTAGACAAGGCTTTAAGGAGGTCTAGGTTCCGTTGATGACTTGATTCCTCCATCTCTTGCCTTGGTTTATCAGGGAAAGGAAGTGAGGGAAATTCTCCCCAAATGAGTGAAAGATAAAAACTCACATTTCACATTATGAGGAATGCACAGAGTATTCTTAAAGAATTCTTAAAGCAGGGTTCCAGTCGTTTCTGTGTTCATTAAAAGTCAGTAGCTACTGACTTTTAATAAACACACAGGATCCAGTGATGTGCTACCTGTCAAAGCCAGGTACCCACTCCCAAAGCCACCCCAAAAAGTGTAAAATGTGGCAGGAGGAAGAGCTTCCCTTTTGGGTGGAACACCGCTTTAAAGATGAAAGGAAGGAAGGGGGGGGGGGGGGAAAAAAAAAAAAAAAAAAAAAACACACCATGGCAGGAGACCTCTCCCATGGGGTCCACAAAAAAAAAAATATATATCAGGTTGAGTATCATTTCACACGGTTCTGCCCACAAAACTAAATATCTACCAAATAGATAGCAGTGGTAAATTATGTTGTGGATACTTGCTGGTAGCAGCAAATATCCACTACACAGTTGTAGCAGCAGTTTATGGACAACAGCACAATTCCAAAACATGACGGTGCTAGATTGTGCATCTCTGTATCACTTTCTATTTATTTCTAGTATGCCAACTGTGTGCATATTTCCTTTTAATCTACATGCAAATTCATTCTTCAGCACAGCAAAAGTTACAGATCACCATGTCTGTCTTTTAGTCACCTATACTGTAGCTTTAGAATATTTACCAGCATCAGACAAAAGCTTAGGCAAGGAAATGAGCACCTATCAACATTGGTCTGCTTCACACAACAAACTATTCCCATTCATTGACAGGTCAAAGTGCAGAGTTAAGCAAGTTCTTATGAGCCAGCGTGTTTGTATAGGGAGCAACAAACCAATCAGTTTACTTTAGACAAACAAGTAACTAAGAGTCTCGATGTGGCGTAATATTTGGGATCTCACCTCAGACATAAAAATATCGAAAATTCTTGTGGCAACCGGTAGAGGGAAACTTGTTAGAAAAATAGTCAGGAACCAGGATGATGCATACATAGAGGTATGAAAACTCTGGGCTTGAAAGTGCACATAAAGCTCCGGAAGCTGCTCCTGGAAGAAAACACCTGAGGATTATCAATACATATCACTACAAAAGGGAAAAAGTGCAAGTGTCCCCACCCAGCCACAGATTTTTGCTTCTAATACATATATTAAAAAGAATGAAGTGTTAATTTAAACAAAATATTTAATTTAAGTACAATTTTTCCTATTCATTTTCAAGGCTTGCCACTTTTACTTTTCAACTGCTGGGGAAAAGTCTAGTACTCCAAGGTTTCGAAAAGATACTTTACTGCACATGGAGATATAAATGGCAAAATTACTTGCACAGCTGAATTATCATCTGAATGACTCAGGAGGAACACACTTATCTCTTCCAGTAGAGACAGTTTAACCTATTAATTTCTAAACTTTCAAAAACATTAAAATTGAGCAAGGACCACTACAGTTTCCCTTTCTAATAGCTGCAGACTGTGCTTTACAACAACTTACTAACAAAAGTCCTCGCCATGTTGGGATTGCCCATTTTAGCAAACACAGTATTGAAAGCCATCACAAGGCAGCTAAGACAGTCAAACATAAATCAGTTAACCTACTACACATGAGAAAATCGGACAAAAAAATACGGCTTTCAGAGCGATTGTCCAATAATGTGTACGTTAGTAAAAAGTTTTGAGAGCCAATCACGACAGTTCATGCAAAATCATCAGAAGGGAGGGGACGATACCAGAACGAATGATTTCTGTTTAATCAGTACAGTATTTGTTAAAAAACCCCAAAAGCATGCATTACGATACAATAATAAATTGCAGGAGTTGCATTCTGTCAAACAAAAATTTTCATAATTCTAGTAACCTATTCATTTTTGATAGGAAACTAGTCTAACAAAACACACACACACACACACACACACACACACACACACACAAAAAAAAAAAAAAAAAAAAAAAAAAAACACGATAATTCGCCCGATGCTCTCATCATTTGTATGAGACTTAAGGAGGGGGGCATCGTGGAAACCGCCGCCAAACTGGAGCAGGTTTAAAAAACGGTATAAACCTGAAATATGCAGGTACAATCCAATCCCCCGTATGTTTTTGCAACCATTTTAAACATGGTTACTTTATTTACTGGATCGATCACACATGTTAAGTGAAAGTACACAGAAGACGACTGTGCAAAGGCTGCTGGCTGCAAAACCAAAAATATTTGGTAAGGATGGAAAACAATGGTGGATTGCAATTTACCACAATCACTATTTCATTGTAATCTAGCAGACAAGGATACTTGCTGCTGTCCAAATTGCTAATAAGTTCCTAAAGTTGTGTTTTATAAGATATAAGATATTATATTTTTAACAAATAAACATTTAAAGTAAGGTGCACCCATGACAAAGGATTCACAAAGCATTATGGTTTTCTCATAAGAACACAGCAGAAGCCATTTTAGGGTATTTGGATATAAATAATTCTGGCATGCATGAAAATTGATACTTGAGCTATTAAGGTCTATCAACAGGATCTTAAACAGAGCAATCACGAATTGACAGGAAAAAACTGTTAAAAAAAGGACCCCAAGCTCTACCTGCTGGCTGGAAATAAAAATCTTGATTACCTGTATGCTGGTTTTTTTTTTTTTGGGGGGGGGGGGGGGGGGGGGGGGGTTGGTTGTGGACTCAAAATACGTGACTTTAAATCATTGATGCCAATTTCTTTCGGACAAACACCCCATTGCAACATTGAAAGCAAAGTCACTGTTAAAAACTAGTTCATTCGAAAGCTACAAAAAAAAAAAAAAGAAAAAAAAAAAAAAAAAGGTGAGTGTAGTTTAGTGGAAAAGTGATAATTCACTTCCCACCTCTGTAACACAACAGTGATTTCCAAAAATATGCTTAATTACAGAAAAAGCAATCAGAAAAAAAAACAAAAACACACACACCAATTTAAAAATAAAATTCAAAGCACCAAAATATGCTTAATGTCAACACTTTGATGGTCCTCTGTGCACCTTTAACCCCTTGACGCCGACGTGACACAAATATGCGGCCTCATGGACCTGGGCCTTTTTCCGTGGGGCCGCATATTTGCGTACCTATCTTTGTGCTGGGAGCGCGCCACTCGGCGCGCTCCCAGCACCAAGACCGCGGTGTCACTGAGAGCCCCGGGTCCCGTTCTAACGATCGGGACCCCCGATTCCGGGTCACGTGATCGCTGTGATAGCCTCTGATTGGCTATCACAGTGATCAATCACTGTGCAGCCCGGCCCCCTTGTTTTCTCTCTCTCAATGAATGGAGAAGAGAGATACATTGTATCTCTCCAACTCCTGACAGAGAGATAAAAAAAAGTTAGTAAAAAAAAAAAAAAAAAAAGATAAATAAATATTAAAAAATAAAAGAAAAAATAAAGAAAAATACCTAGATCAAGGTTTGATCTAGTTCAGTACCAGGGATAGTGTTTGGGTCAAGGTCAGGGTCAAAGGTCAGGGTCAGGGGCAAAGGTCAGGATTTAAAAAAAAATTGGTGTCAGTTAGTGTTAATGTCAATGACAGTGTGTTTTATGTAAAAAAAAAAGAAAAAAAAAAAAAAAAGACAAAAACAAAATGCGCACTGTTGTTTCTGGACTGTACTACGGGTACAAACAACAAATAACATACACATATATGGTATCGCTGCGATCGTCAAGAACTGGAGAATGTATTTTGGGTTGTTCTTTGGTGGTAGGTTATGGTCGTAACAACAAACACACAGTTAAATTAAAAAAAATGATTTTTTTACTATTTTGGCCCAGTTTTCCTTTAATAATAAAAAAAAAAAAATTAGGAGCTATCCATTACAATTTATCACCAAATGAAAGCCCAATTTGTCCTGAAAAAAAACAAGGTATAATCCACCTGGATGTACAAAGTAGTTGTGACGATATGTACGGTTTTACTGACACGTCAACGTTGCAGAATTGTGCTTAGGCATTTAGATTTGTTTTACCCTAAGGCGTGAAGGGGTTAAGGGGGGTAAAAATGACAATAGAAAGCAAAGTGTGTTTCATAAGAGCAGTAAATATAAAAAACGTAGCCAATGACAGCTGGTGTTTTCCAATTATTTAAAAACCCAATAGGCTGATATTCATAAATATGACTCGGCATGTACATTTTGACCCCACCCAAGATTTCATTTTGTGTGGACTTACTCTGACTTACTCTGTTTATAATGGCTAAAATATAAATATAAAGTTTTGGTATTTAAACACCAAGAACAGTTTAGAAAATTATTTTTGAATTGATGACTGTAACCACAGGATATTGAGCCCCAAATTAATGTAGAAGACTAGCCAATAAATTAAACTTTTACAACTACATCTGCTCTAAAAGCACAAACCTAATAACCAAATACAGTTGTCTGCAACAGGAATCTGCTACCTTATTTGCATTAGTTTCTTCTGAAGACGTCAGCTATATACTCACCATTTAGGTAGAACACCCAAAATTCCTCCCATTCTGTCACTGCCTTATAGGTTACAAATTCTGTCCTGGCGATTCCCATGCTATGTGTAGCTGATAGCTTCATTAATCCAGAGATATGAATTAAATCTTTCACGAGTGCCCCAAAGCAAGTACAGTTGTCAAGGTGGGCTAGAAAAGTGAGGTCCATTTTAAATGCAGTGAATCTCTTGTCTATCCAAACCCACGGGAGGACTGACGACTCATGGGGCCCCTGTGTCCTTGACCAAACTCAAAAAAGCCTATGAAAACGGTACCAGGGACATCTCATGGGGCCCCCTACTGACCCCGGGCCCTCGGGCAGCGCCCGAGTTTCCAAATGGTCAGTCTGCCCCTGTACCAAACCCTTAGTTTTAATTGATAAGAGTGCATAATTCCATTCTCAGTATGATGTGAGGTAGGTGGTAACTGATAATTAAGGGAAGACATCACATACTAGCATTCGAAAATACATAAAGTGTTTTAATTATTACTGACCTAAAAAGGGTCTTTTATATTGAGATAGACGTATGCTTTAAAATATCAAATGTGCATAACCATTTAGGCAATTCAAAAGGGTGACTAATAAAGAACAGACAACATCCAGAATCCTACAGATGGAGTCTTGTTTATACTGTATTTACCTGAATCATGCATTCAAACTGATACATACAGAGGCCTAATTCAGCCATGCTGGGTTTAAAGAGCTCCCGTAGTCGATAGTCTTGCATTAATTTTACAAACACACAAAAAGCTTCTTCCTCAGGCATCTGAAAGAAGTAAACGAGAGCAGTTAAATATTAAACAATTTCACAAGAAGAGAAAATAAAAAAACTCAAATTGATCCAAAACATAATTATGTGCAACACACGGTGTTTTCCTATTAAACACTAAAACTTTATTAATGCAATTCCAACTAACACAATTATACGGGGACACACACACACACACACACACACACACACACTCTCACTATTGTTTAAGATAACAATAAACGGAGGATCTTCTGAGTTTATTATAAAAATAATATTTCCTCTTGTTTGCACAAAAAAAAAAAAAAAAAAAAAAGGGCAAAATCTCTTTCCTGTGCCTGGGTCAGGGGTTGGCAGCACACAATTTTAAGAAAGAAGTTAAACAATCTCATTATTACCTAAAAACTTTACTGTAATCAGTAGAACAGAAATGTCATAATAGGCAGTTTAAAAGCTTAGTCCTTTGCAAAAAAACTTTACAAATTGGATAATCTAAGGAAGAGACATAAAGAGGTTCTGTCTCTACAGTGGTGTGAGAAAACAAGTTTCAAAGAACACAACACTTCATTTGACAAGATAATGATACGCCCTCTGTTTCCTCTTGTACCAAATTGTATTGTAACTGTAATGTCTACCTTCATTTTGTAAAGTGTTGGCGCTATATAAATCCTATATAATAATAATAAGAATAGGGAAACGGGACACATGGTTTGCTTTAATGCAGAGTGCGGGCTCTAGAGTGTTGTGACTAAGCGGAAAAATCCAAAAAACTGGGCTTTCAGTTTCCTCCAAGTTTTGTAATCCTGAATCAGGATCTGGTGCTTGAAGGTTTCAATGCCTCTTGGGTGGGATGAAGCCTTTGTTGCATCAAGCTCTTATTGGGGACCTGCAGGCTGTGTAGATGTGCACAAGGACAAGTATAGTTCAGTGTTCCCAGTAGAAAGAGCTGAGGCGGCTAAGGGAGTCTAGGACAGTGGTGGGCAACCTTTTTTTTCAACTGAGCCAAATCTCGCCAAAACCACAATTGAAATTTATTTTGAGAGCCACATTTTTAAAACTGAAAATACATAGGATGGTACACTGTTTTTAGTTTCAATAAGTTTTTATAGTAATTCATCCCCCATATAGTAATTCATCCCCCATATTAATTCATCCCTCATATAGTAATTCATTCCCCCCCCTATAGTAATTCATCCCCCATATTAATTCATCCCTCATATAGTAGTAGTAAGTAAGTAGCAAGTAGTAAGCCAAGTCCCCTCTGTGTCAATTTACTTACCTTTGCTCCGCGCGTTCCTCTCGCCGTGTTCCCGCGCCGTTCCGGTCTTCAGGGCGGACTGTGAGAGGAGCCTAGCTCCTCTCACGTTCGTCACGCTGCCCCGCCTACACACATCCTGACAGCCAATCACTGGCTATCAGGATGTGAGTGGCAGCGAGACTGGCCAATCATTGCATTTGAGCGCGCTGCCCTGGCTGTTTTTTTTTTTTTTGGATCACGCTGCAGAGTCCCTGCCGCCCGAGAGGAGGGAGGGGAGCGGGCGCCCGGCGCACAAGAGCCGCATTAAAGCGTGTAAAGAGCCGCATGTGGCTTGCGAGCCGTGGCTTGCCGACCACTGGTCTAGGACACTGAAAAGGCCAGGACAACTAGGTGAGTCCAGGGGACTCAGGGAATCCATAAGTCTTCACTGAGTGAATGCATCTGGAATGTCAGGAGAACCCCTAAAAAGAGGCCAGGAGTGGGCACTTTTAGTTGGGAGTTGCGACTACAGACTGAGGGAACCAGAAAAATCTGGGTGAGACCAGGAGGTAAGAACATCGATGCTGCTTGAAAGAGCCAGGAGGCTCGGCATATTCTGTTACGTTTTGCTGTGTGAAAAACTGAAGACCCCTGCATGGGCAACAGATGTGGTAAATAAAAGGGGACTGGCAAGGCCTAAAAACTACAGTTCGGATGAGAGAGAGAAGAAAAACAGAGGGGAAAGAAAAGGAGAAGATAGAGAGAGAAGAAAGAGGTGTAGATAAAGAGAGCTGCAGCAGTATTGAATAGTTAAGTTTAAACTATTAACCACTTGCCCTCCAGAGGATTTACCCCCCTTCCTGACCAGGCCATTTTTTGCGTTATAGCACTGCGTTACTTTAACTGACAATTGCGTGATCATGCACCGCTGTACATAAATGAAATGTGAGGAGTTTTTATTTTTGGCGCAATTTAAAAAAAAAAAACAAAAAAAAAACAATTTCGAGACAAACGATTTTTGACTTTTTGCTATTAAGCATGTCCAGTACAAAAAAAATAAAATAAAATTTCGTCATAAATTTAGGCCAAAATGTATTCTGCTACATGTCTTTGCGGTATATATATACTGGAATTTTTTTAACTTTTTCACTAGTAATGGTGGCGATCAGCGACTTATAGCAGAACTTCAGCGGGCATTCTGACACTGGGAGGAACTTACTTGGTGTCACTGACATCCCCAGTGACCAGTGCTAATAAAAAGCACTGACACTGTACTAATGGCACTGGGCAGGAAGGGGCAATCAAAGGGTTAACTGTGTGCAGTTTTTTCATTGTGTCCTGTGTTTGTGCGTCACTGTAAGCACACTGCATGCACAGCCATGCAAAGCAGTGTGCAGGAGCTGACAGGGGAGAGAACTGTTTTATTTACAAATAATTTGGAACAGGGTATATATATATATATACACACACACACACACACACACACACATATATATATATATATATATATATATACATATATACATATATATATACACATACACACACACACACACACACGATTTTGCGCACCTGTGCTGCCCTGTAGCAGTACTTCTGCTATAGGGCGGTCAGGAAGCGGTAAAAGTATTATCGGCTGAAAATGTATAAACCTCTAGGACTGCAACATGAAAAGAAGGTATGTTATGCATATCAATAATTATTATTTGTTTACTATACAGTTAGATACCACGTAATTCAAGTCCTGGCTTGACCTGCCCAGCCTCGCCTAATCAAAAGACATTGAAGGGCCTCAAAAGTGTTACGGATGCTGAAGCTTTTAAAACTGTAAACGGTTACAAGAGACGTAATGAAGACTGAAGCCTTTGCCATACCTACTTCAGTCAGTTTAAAAATGGAAAAAAGTCAACATCCTTGCTATTCACCCTAGGACCAAGCACCCTATCAGTGCAAGGTTTATCTAGAATGTGTCAAAAGGACAGCCAAGTATCTGCATGCATCTCACTCCCCTACCACTGTTATTCATGGGTATACAAAAGAAAAAAACACTGTTCATTAGAGGTTACTCTGAAGCAAACCAGTTTTCCAACAGACTATATTCTGTCACCCTTAAAGCAGAACTAAACCTTCCCTATCCTTTACAGCCAAGGAAGCTGCCATTTTAGGGTGGGGTGCTGTTTCTGCATGAGTGCTGTTTGTGATAGAGTGCTAAGGAGCAGTTGAACACAGCAGACTAATCATGGCTTCCCTGCTTTTCACAGGTAAATGCTTTTCCACTCTAAACTACAACAACGTATAGACTCCTGTTAATTTCAGAGCAAATCGTGTATATATATTTTGTCTATGTTGATTAGTTCTCACCTCCTGTTGCACTCTTTTTATGACTGTGGGCTGTGTCACAGGAAGCTGCCATCTTAGGGTGGGGTGCTGTTTCTGCATGAGTGCTGTTTGTAATAGAGTGCTAAGGAGCAGTTGAACACAGCAGTTTAACTAAAGCAGGATAACTCAAGCAGCAGGAAGACACAACAGCAAGAAACTCTACTGCACGCTGGACAGACTGCAAGCAAACACCCTGGGAGACATCTCTTACAAGTCTGTGTCCCACTCTGTGTACCTTTTAATATGTCCCCTCTACTCCTCCTTTTCATATTACTATCCTGCGTTCCCAAAATCTCACGTCTTTACCCCTCTGCTCCACCCCACAACTTGTACATCTCACCCTCACTGCTACCATCTCCCTACTACTGCTCTCATCACCACCTGCTGATACTTCACTCTCCTGCTGACCCAAACACCAGGACTGGAAAGCATGTGCGCTCGTGTACATCCCGCTCCCATGTTACTTTCCTCACCCTTCTTCTCCTAACCTCTGGGGATATCACCCCAAACCCTGGTCCTCCAGTATCTCACCCCCACACCAGGCATCCTTTCTTCCAGGAATAGCCGCAATCCCCTCAATTTAATAGCGGTCCCCATGCTCCTAAAAACCACCCTCCCTTTTTCATGTGCACTCTGGAATGCCCACTCTGTCTGTAATAAGCTCACCTCTGTCCCATGACCTTTTTGTCTGCCGCTCCCTTAACCTACTAGCAATTACAGAAACCTGGCTCCAAGCAGCAGATTCTGCTTCTCCAGCAGCACTTTCCTATGGAGGCCTTCTCTGGACCCACTCACCCAGAACCAGTGGTCAGAAAGGTAGTGGAGTTGGTTTGCTCCTATCCCCACTGAGCACCTTTCAAGTCCTCCCTAACCCTCCCCTCTCTATCCTTCTATTCTTTCGAGACTCACTGCATCCGGCTGTTTTCTCCCATTTCTCTGAGGATTGCAGTGATCTATCAGCCTCCTGGACTGGTGTCCTGCTTTCTTGATGATTTCTCCGCCTGGCTACCCTACTTTCTCTCCTCTGAACTACCCACTATCATTCTCGGAGATTTTAACATCCCTATTAATATCAACAACCCGGCTACATCCCAACTCTTCAAGTTAACCTCATCTTTTGCATTAGCACAATGTATACAGTCCTCCACTCACTCTGATGGGAATACATTAGACCTTGTTTTCTCCCGTCTTTGCACTCCCTACAACCTCACAAACACCCCCTTTCCTCTCTCTGAAGACGAGGACACTGTGAAGGTGATGAGATTGTGATCAAACACCTATCCCTCAAAGCAACAATTACCCGCAGAAACCTTCACAACTTGAACACTGCTCATTTCCACTCTGCAACTAACCAACTCTATGACAGAATCTCTCCCTTGTCCTGCCGTGACCTGGCCACTGCTGTCTACAACAGTTCGCTTTCATCCGCATTAGACTCACTTGCTCCTCTAACAACACGAAGCATCAGGCCCCGACCGTCACTAAGGTTTTCTCAGAAGCCCGTCTCACCACCTGCCCCCTGGATCCTGTCCCCTCACAACTACTACGGTCATCCTCTTCTTCCATCCTATGCTCCCTCACATCCTCAATCTTTCCCTCTCTAGTGGTGCCTTCCTCTCCCCTCTAAAGCATGCACACATCACTCCCATACTTAAAAAGCCCTCCCTGGACCCCACCAACCTGGACAACTTAAGACCCATCTCCCTGCTGCCATTTACCTCTAAACTCCTAGAACGCTTCGTCTACAATCGCCTGAGCTCCTACCTCACTAACAACCTTCTTGACCCTTTACAGTCTAGCTTTCGCTCACTACACTCCACTGAAACTGCCCTACTAAAACTCTCTAATGACCTACTAACAGCTAAAACCAATGGCCACTACTCCGTAGTCTAACTACTTGACCTCTCTGCGGCTTTTGATACGGTTGACAATCCCCTCCTCCTCAAAAAACTCCACTCTCTTGGTCTCAGACTCTGCTCTCTCCTGGTTCTCCTCCTACCTAACGCAGCGCTCCTTCAGCGTTACCTAGAACGCTGCCTCCTCCTCTTCACTCCCTCTTTCCGTAGGGGTCCCTCAAGGTTCTGTCCTTGGACCCCTTCTCTTCTCCATCTACACCTCCTCCCTTGATCACTTGATAAACTCCCATGGCTTTAAGTACCATCTCTATGCTGATGACACACAAATTATCTTTCTACCCCTCACCTCACCCATTCAGTCTCCTCTCGCATTATTATCCTACTAAGTGACATATCGGCATGGATGTCACTCCACTTCCTCAAACTCAATCTTTCCAAAACTGAGCTCTTAGTATTCCCCCCAACCTGTGCCCCCTTCCCTGACTTCTCCATCAAGATCAATAACACAGTCATCAGTCCCACCCCTCATGCCAGGGTACTAGGTGTAATCCTAGACTCCCCTCTGTCCTTTTAGCCCCAAATCCAATCACTGTCCAAGTCTTGTAGACTTCACCTCCGCAACATCTCCAAGATACACCCATTCCTAACCTCGGAAACCACTAAGCAACTTATTCACTCCCTTGTTATATCTCGCCTTGACTATTGTAACTCCCTCCTCATTGGCCTACCTAATTGCAGGCTATCCCCTCTTCAGTCTATTATGAATGCTGCTGCCAGACTCATCCACCTTACTAACCATTCTGTATCTGCCACCCCTCTCTGCCAATCCCTCCACTGGCTTCCCATTGCCCAACAGATAAAGTTCAAAACATTAACAATAACGTATAAAGCCATTTATAACTGTGCCCCAAATTACATCACCGATCATGTCTCGAAATATCACCCAAACCCTACTCTCCGCTCCTCGCAAGACCTCCTACTCTCTAGCTCCCTTGTCTCCTCCTCCCATGCTCGTCTCCACAGCTTCCCCCATCCTCTGGAACTCTCTACCCCAATTTATCAGACTATCGCCTACTCTGCTCACTTTTAGGCGAGCTCTGAAAACCTCTCTTCAGGGAAGCCTATCCTGCCCTCAGCTAATAATGGAATCTTCTACTTTTCCAACCAGTCCATCCCCCACAGTTACTACCTTTTGTATCACTAGCCCCTCCCTCCTAGATTGTAAGATCCAAGGAGCAGGGCCGTCCTAACCCTCTTGTATTGAACTGTATTGTTGCTGTAATGTCTCCCGTTATATTGTAAAGCGCTGAGCAAACTGTTGGCGCTATATAAATCCTGTATAATAATAATAGTATAATAATCTTAGCCTCTGTTTGTTCTCTAGATGCCATGGTGCTGCACATGTGATCAGTTCTGACACCAGCCATTTGATGGCCCGACAGTTCAGTTGAAAACACAATCTGACAGTTATCATTCACAGCATTTCTTGAGTAACGTTTTGGTAAACCATTGGGTTTAATTGCACTTTAAGCTTAAGAAGTCCTCAGTGTTCCACAGCACTACTAAAAAACCCAGGCAAACATTGAACTTTTCTGCTCATATACCTGTCTAACACAACACTGCCAAAAATAGCATACAAACCCCAATCAAAATTATAAATAGAAATGGAACAGTGAATGGCTGATTAGCCTTTTGCCTATTCAAATTTAAAGTGAAACTAAACCCATCAATTTAACAGTTTAAAAAGCAGCCATGCCAGGAATGCTGTCACCTATGCTCGTGCTTTCAGCTAAAGTCCTCATGCACACGATGTTTTTTACAGCTGTTTTTGGCTTTTTTTTTTCTACAGCTAGTAAACTCCCCAGCATGTTATCCTATGTGTACATGCACACAGACTGTAATCAACGTTTGCTTGGCTGGGATGTTTTTTGGCTGGAAAAACAAAAAAAAAAAAAAAAAAAAAAAAAAAAAAACACAACAGGACTAGTGGGTTTCTAGTTTTTTAGCTGTAAAAACGGGCAAAACGCCACAAGTCAGGAAGAAAAAAAAAAAACGCTAAGAGGCAAATGCGGGAAAACGCCGCTAATCAGTCTCAGAAAACCGCTAAAAAAACCCTGAAAAAGTCACGGTTTTAACGTGACTTACACAGCTAACGCCCCATGTGCATGAGAGCAAACTGTCAAACCATCAAATGGCTGGTGTCATAACTGATCAGATGTGCAGGATCATGGCAGTTGAAAATCAAAGACGCTAAGATGTCAGCTTCCTTGGCTGAAAAATATAGGAGTTAGTTCAGCTTTAAATATCAGTATCCTAAGCTTTGAAATGTGAATTGACCGTCAAAAGTCAAAGGATACTATCAGTTATTAGAAAAGTACTGACTTCTAATAAAGATGTCCCAGTGCTCTCCTTTTTGCACATAGGGAGCCATGAATCTTACCTGCATAAGTAGAAGTCCCACAATAAAAGCGCTTCCTTGGCAGTATCCCACCTCACGATCCACTAAGGAATATGCCTTAATACATTTAAAAAAAAAAAAAAAAAAAAAAAAAAAACTCACATTAAACCATTTTCCCATGTGGATACAACAAAGCATATAAAAACAGAGAAATAAATACAAACAACACAGCATATATCAGTTCCCTGATCAATACCCCCACATAAGCCAAAAGCACGTGTACAACCAAATTTATACGAAAAACCCTTAAAGAGATTCTGACATGTGCAAATCACTGAAGCTGCCATTGATGAACTTTCCTTCGAATAATGATAGTGACCTACCCTTATGAACTCACTCACCTTCATGGGCAAAGCACAGGTTAATTTTAGGTAATGAAATTAAGTGAGGGCTATGTGCGCATGAAAAACATAATGACAATGAAAAACCTTCATATATCATAAAACTAGCCTCATCACTAAGGAGTCTAGTTTTAGAAACAATCCTAGTAATATATGATGAACTAGATTACAGAACTCCATACCCAACTCTTCAAAGAAAGAAAATTCCAATAGCCAATTAAACATTTTTTTTGGAAGGATCGAGTTAACAGTCTCATGTTAACAGGACCCATTCTTGACCCTGATGCAGAAAATTCCTATTTCCTTTCTTAAAGAAGTATAAGCAAAGCTATTTTGGCTGTACTTCTATGGATTACAAGAGTGCAGCTAGTTCTGCACTCCTGTAACTGGTTTTCAGCCGACAGCTGATGTCACGGACTCTAGTCCGGGCTCCGAAAATATCCCAACCATATGGTCGGGACCCACCCAGAAGCCTAGACTGGCACCTAGCTCAGCCTCTCAGTGATCAGCCAAGAGCCTGAGCCAGCCCCTCCAGCTGCCTGCACAGCCCAGTGCTCCAGTGAGCGTTGGAGGATCAGAGCAGAAAGCCGGTGACTGACAGTCTTCGCTCTCTGGGGAGAACTGAGCGATCAGCGGTGTCTGATCACTCAATTTTCACTACAGAAGTGGTGGGGGACAGACGCAGAATCCACCCAGGACAGTATAAAGGTTCTTGTTTTTTTTTTGTGGGGAAGGGGGGGGGGGTCACCCCCAAAGTCAAACCTCTTTTATATTGGCTTACAATATCTAAGAATGAATTTTAATCTGGTTAAGGGACAATATAAGGACATAAGTACGGCTTTAACTTAACTGACCTAATTGCTATAGGAATGTCATCACGAACTGACCAAATCCTTAAAAAGGGAATGTTGCTTTCAAGGATGGGAGGGGGGGTTGGCCAAATGCTACCCATAAGTCTTGTATATACCACAGTCAAATATTATGTAAGACTGAACGCCACTCGAACAGATCCCCAGGAGTCAGAGAACAACACTGTGTGATGGATGGCTTCAGCCTTCGCTTAGGCCACGCCCTCTGAAGCATTTCTCCCCGCCCATATGGGGCTTGGTCACAGAGGCTTCTCTATGGGTGGGGCGAAACATCAGAGGGCGTGTCCAGAGCGACGGCTTAGGCCATCCATCACACACAGTGTTGTTCTCCAACTCCTGGGGATTAGCTCGAGCGACGTTCACCCCTACATACTATACCAAGTCTTTGGAGCAACTTGGGGCGCTGTCCCTCTCTCTTTCTCTGCCGACAGGGTGATTATCACTTACAAACAGCCTCGAGCGGTGCCAGAAGCTCTTCAGTGGTTTACAGCCAAATAGTTCTGTCCCAGGGCTGCTTAAATGCATGTGCCAGGTTTTAATCATCTATACCGGGTGTCGGCAACCCGCGGCTCTGGAGCCGCAGCGGCTCTTTTTCACCTTTCCTGCGGCTCCGGAGCACACTGCCCACCAGGTGACAGGCAATAGGGTCGGCAAGCCGCGGCTCTTTTAATGCAGCTCTTCTGTGTGCCGGGTGCCCGCTGGCAAACATTGGCTGTCAGGATGTAGGCGGGGGCAGCGTGACGAACTCCTCTCCTCTCACAGTCCGCCCTGAAGACCAGAACGGCGCGGGAACACAGCGAGAGGAACGCGCGGAGCAAAGGTAAGTGAATTGACACAGGGGGGACTTTGCTTACTACTTGCTGCTTACTTACTACTACTATATGAGGGATCAATTAATATGGGGGATGAATTACTATAGGGGGGATGAATTACTATATGCGGGATGAATTACTATAGGGGGGATGAATTACTATATGGGGGATGAATTACTATAGGGGGAATGAATTACTATATGGGGGAATGAATTACTATAGGGGGAATGAATTACTATAGGGGGGATGAATTACTATATGGGGGGATGAATTACTATATGGGGGATGAATTACTATATGGGGGATGAATTACTATATGGGGGATGAATTACTATGGGGGATGAATTACTATAGGGGGGATGAATTACTATAGGGGGGATGAATTACTATATGGGGGATGTATTTTCAGTTTTAAAAATGTTTCTCTCAAAATAAATTTCAATCGTGGTTTTGTCGAGATTTGGCTCAGTTGAAAAAAAAAAAAAGGTTGCCCACCACTGACCTAAGGCTATGATTGTGATTATGACGATACAGTGTGGCCCTGATTAACCCTTTGCTTACTGGGCCCTTAAACCCCCTTCATGACCAGAGCGCTTTTTGCAATATATGCAGTGTCGGATATTTTTAAATGTTGCAATGGTTTTGCGGCTCCCAGTCTTTTTTTCCCTCTCGGAAACGGGTCCAAGTGGCTCTTTATGTCTTAAAGGTTGCAGACCCCTGATCTATACCAAGCTGGAGGACCCCGTAGCAAAAAGGCATCTACAGCTACAGTATTCTTGTTACATTCTCTATTAATAAATGTATCTTCATCTGTATTTGTTATTACAAGCGTTTGTGTGTGATCTCTTTGCAAATCGTGAATAAAAACCAAAAACTTAACTGTAATAAAACAGACCTCTGCATTACTGGTCTCAATATAAAAGAGACAGGCAGTTCAGACATGGCCTGAGAAAAGATTACTCAAGGTATATAGAGAAATCCACTTTCACACAACAATCACCTTTCCTCCTCTAAATTAGTAGCTCTATTTGAAAGTAAAACATTCCAATTAATACCCACCTTCATAACATTGAACAGAACTTCTTGCCCCAGGCTGTCTTTCTCTTTGAAGAAATCATGCTCTGGATACGTCCTTGCAATGTCCCTTCGGATGAGCTTTTCACACGGTGAGGTCATTTTCAAGAGCTCGGAATACTGCTCTTTGATTGGCATATTTTGAGCATTGCATAATAACTGCCATACAATGGCACGAAAATGATGTGGTATTCCTTTTCTGACCAGTTCCTAAAACACAGACACTGCTGACTACCAAGTACCACTGCAACATGACAAATAATTCCTAAAAACAATCAGTAATTGAATAGGATGAGTAATGTTCTTATATTATTCTAATCACTTGGATACTCTCACATGAAGAAGCAGAGGGTGGGGTGGAGAAGTGATGATGCCACTGAAACACTAGACTTGAATCCGATTTTTTTTTCCCACAAGTTTTTAAAATGTTTTATAAACCAATGATTTAGAAATGGTATCATATACAAAAGCATTATGCATTCCTTTTAAAGAATGCTGTAAAGAATTCCAGGTATGGTATATTTTTTTTACATTGGTCCAGCTTATGGTATATACCAGGGGTATCAAACTGGTGGCCCTCCAGCTGTTGCCAAACTACAAGTCCCATGAGGCATTGCAAGATTGACAGTTACAAGCATGACTCCCAAAGGCAGAGGCATGATGGGACTTGTAGTTTCACAACACCTGGAGGGCCGCTAGTTTGACACCACTGGTATATACCATACTTGACTGATGTCAGGGTCCTGTGCGGAGCAGCTGGCCTGATGTATTGTTAACACAGGATGTTGGCTGATTAGCACAGGAATTATTCAAAGAATACTTTGCATTTTTTCAGTGAATGCAAAGTGTTCTCTGATTGGACAAGGTGGAGAGCATGACATCACTGCCCCGAGTCTCCAACTCATCCAATTAGAAAATGCTGTGTGTTCATTCAGAAAATGCAAATCGTTCTCTCTCAATGGCACCTGCGCTGGTCGGCCGACCTCCTGTGTTCAGAATGCATCAGGTCGGCCATTCAGTACAGGACTCAGAAGAAGTGGAGATCAAGGGAGTAGCGGTTTCTACTTCAGTGATTTCCAGATTCCAGGGGAATGGGTCAGGTATGGTTTATACATAGTTACATTGGTCCAAGCTTAACTAATGTAAAAAATGTACAATGCCTGGAATTCATCTTCAAGCAAGAGTAGTAGGATTGGCATGTCAAACTAGGCAGGATTGGGTTGCAAGTGATAACCAAATGTTGGTACTTCAGGTATAATAATCTTAGTTTACCTCTGATGCAGAGAATGCTACAAAATCATTTAGTGAAAAATACACCGCAAAAAGGTCCATTCCGTACAATAAGAGTTAAAGCTGTATTAAACCCAAACACAAATATGTATTATATTGCAGCTTACCAAATCTTAGATGTGGTGGCTGCATTATTTTTTTCTTTTTTTAGGCTTTTTTCATTTATTTTGACCTGGTGATCAATTTTACATTGGAAAAGGTCTATGTACAGTGATACATTTTCAAACTCCTATGCTGAACAACGTTTTAGGGTAGCACGACTCTGCCAATTATTGTGACTAGAGATACTGAAATACAAGGTTTCTAGGAACCCTAAGTGCCAATCAACCAGATCAAGTTGCAGTATGACACTCTGCCTCCCAGTTACATTACAGAAGGTGATTAAAGCAAGTTTTGTCATTTTCAGTGAGGAGCCGTGTATGCTATGGCTGGGCAATTTATTGTTGCAGTGCATTCCTATTGCTACAAGGGTCTGCAGCTACCATGTCACATTGCTGCTACTTAACAGAACTTCTCCACATACTTTATGTCTTAACCTCTTGCTACCCACTAACGCATATGTGGGTTGGCAAAGAGGGTGAGCACACATGCATCCATGGGCAGCCAAGGTATCTGTATGCTGGGAGTGGGATTACTGCCCACTTCCAGCACAGTGACTGATCTGTCACAGACAGCTCCCTGTCTCTAGGAATGATTGAGAGCCTGAGATACTGGTTCCCGATCATGTGACTATTGTGACAACCAATCACACGATTGGACAGTCCTTCCTGACTTCTGGGTGTAAGGATCATGGTAAAAGAACACTGGTGGCTGGGATGAAAGGGGTTAATCACTGCTCACACTGTTGGTCCAGTTACTGGTACAAGTCTAAAGCGGAATGTGTCCTAATGTGTTGGAATATGTAGTTCCACATTTTAAAAGAAGCATATAAGGGTAGTTTCAAATAAATGTTGGTTAGTAACTGTCACACACAACTGGACTTGTAAATACTACTAGTTATACCATGACCAGGAAAAATGAGAACTTTCCAGAAACATTAAAATTTTATGTGTGCTCCAATTGTATGTTCTAGTACGGAAACTACTTTATGTTTACTCATATGACATCAAATGAGTACAGAGAGTGCATGCCCTTATCTGTTGGGAAATAATTACCAGGGAGTTGGATCTACACTATACAAGCAATGGGCATTATCCATTTCAGCTCCAGAAGATTTTACCCCCTTCATGACAAGGCCATTTTTTCTGCTATTCAGCATTGTGCTACTTTAACTGGTAATTTCATGGTCATGCAATGTTGTACCCAAATTAAATTTAGATGATTTTTGTTTATAAAGTATAATTTTTATATATATTTTTTTTTTTTTTAATTTTCAGTTTCTGCTATACAACATATCCAATAAAAATTTTAAAATTAAATTTCTTCATAAATTTTGGCCAAAATATATTCTGCTACATGTTATTGGAAAAAATCACAATTAGCATATATTAATTGGTTTTATGTGAAAGTCATAGAGTCTACAAATATAAGTATATATACTGGAATTTTCTTTTTGGATAATACTAATGACGGATCAACAACGTCTAGTGGAACTGTGATAGTGTGGCAGCAATATCACTCTGACACTTTGTGGGAACTGACATCACCAGTGACACTATTACAGTGATTAGTGCCAATATTATACACGGTCACTGTACTAAGGACACTAGCTGGGAATGGGTTAACATCTAGGGGCAATGTTGTGTTTATGTGCCTAACAATGTGCTGCTTTGCTGCGTTTCCTCTGTACAGAGCCCTGTGTTTGCCAACACAGGGCTCTAGGTTGTGAATGGACACAGCTGATCAGCAGGTCCCAGCCACAAATCACTGGCCGTGACCTGCAGACCAAGTCCCACTCTGTTTAATCACAGCAGCGCTGGCGGGTGGGAGCATGAGCACCCTACGTTACGGTAATGTACCCAGGAAGGTCAGCAAGCAGTTAAAGAAAACAGGTAATAGGAATGAAAATCTCAAAACTGTAGGTAAGCTTATTTGGAAATAGTCATTTTGGCAAATGTAGTGTAGGGTCAGAGTCTTTCAGAGAAAAAAAAAAGCAACTGAATCAGCACCTAGTCATTGTAGTGCAGGTAGACTTCTGTACATCAGCAAACCTGTTCTCTAATTAACATACAGTATGTACTTGGGTTGAAGAGAATATTTATCTGCATACAGGGCAACCTCTTTAGATAGCGGAGTTCTAGGAATTGGGGTAACACTGCTCTAAACAAGTCTGAGAGATAAGTCCTTAACCTTAATTAAAAGGTGGAAAAGAACAGACAAGGGCGCACTCTCTGAGGAAGAAGGTTCAGCTCCCGAAACGCGTCAGCTTATTCGCATCATTAGACACAGATGTATTGTGACTGTCTTTGTGGACCACTTATACTGCTTTCAATCACGTTGGTTTGTGAGTATATATCCTCTTTTTATTCAATAAATACGTGTTCTACCACGGTAATGCACGATGAGAGTGCGCCCTTGCCTGTTCTTTTCCACTAGTGCTCAGATTTCCCGATCTTAGAAGGGCTGCACCTCTTCGGTTGGCATTTTGGCATCTCCTTGGTTGTATGAAGACTGGAGCGCTGGTTACGTTTGTTTATCTTTTGGAGTTAATTAAAAGGTGACAAACAGCAAGGTAAATTAAACAATTACCAATATTACCATTTGCCGCTGAAATCAGCCCTACCTTTATCTGTTTCTCTTTCTTCTTGTACGCCTCCTCCCACTCATTGACAATACGTCCCCATAGCAGCCAGGAATCCTCCTCCTGATGGTGACTGAGATTACTGGATGCCGAGGAGCTGGAAACCAGGGAAGACCCGCTATTTCTTCTCGATCCATTCACAGATCGCAGTGATTTACTGTCAATCTCTAGCAGCCTGCAAACAATAAATAACATCTTTATAAGTGCCCATGTGTGGATCAGTGTTTACAGCGAATAAAGCAGTATTAGAGACTCAAATCAAATTATTTTAGAGAAAAAAAAAAATTGAACGGCCTTCAACAGTTTGTGTTTTAGCTCATGGGATGAGGACAGAGGGAAGAGAGACATGCTGCAAACGTCACCGATTTATGAGAAAACAACAACCTGTCTGATTTCTATTCTATTATAGGAGTGTCTGCATGTATATATTATCCTCGTTGAAGATAGGTAGTTCTACCGTCATGCCTATGGGTACCTTAAAAGAAATATGATCATTACAAAAAAAAAAAAAAAAAAAAAACAACAACAACAACAACACATTATACTGACTTAGGTGGATGCAGCATCAATTAGATGCTGCAGCTGTCCCATGCCAACTCTGCACTGAGAACTGAGTGATCAATCGCTGACAGCTCAGTTCTTCCAACTGCTCTGAACAGAGCCGTGATGGTCAGTCTCCGACTCTCTGCTCTGCCCCCTCCAGTGCTGGGCTGTGGAGTGGAGCGGCTGGCTCAGCCTCTCACTAACAGGCTGAGCCAGCTGCCAGTCCAGGCTTCTGGGTGGATCCTGACAATATAGGATCTTTTAAAAGCCTAGATTGGCTCTGGGATGTAAGCCGACAGTAGGCTTTGGGCCGCTGTTGGAAGAAAATTGGTCACAGGAACGCAGAACAAATTGCATTCCTGTGACCCATGGAAAGAAGAGTAGTACAGCCATAACAGCAGACTTATTACTGGCTCTCCACTGACCACCACCCTCAGCAAAATTGGTCTAAACGCAATCTTCCACCATGTTCCAACCGGTGACAACACCAACAAATACATCCTAAATCCTGCTAGAAGACACTGTTTGAAGCGCATTCTTGTGTGTGGTCTTCTCATATTTACTGCGGTTTTATCCAAACAACAACAAGGTATACTGCTCACGCAAACAATCCATTCAATCCAAATCAATCCACCACGCACGATGCAATAGAAGGGTCAGCCGCACACCGGAGGATAGATGAATATAGTGTATATTTATTGATCCATAGGACACACAAAACACCAGGACATGAATACAGGACATGTTAATGCATTTCACACGATCTTGTGCTTAATGGTTATGATTAAGCAGGAGATCGTGTGAAACGCATTAACAGGTCCTGTATTCATGTCCTGGTGTTTTGTGTGTCCTATGGATCAATAAATACACACTATATTCATCTATCCTCCGGTGTGCGGCTGACCCTTCTTCCTACATTAGTCCCCCTCACCATCCAGCTACTAAAAGCATTGCTCAGTATGGGCATTTGGTGGGTACCCTTGTACATGTTTGGCTATCAGATACAACAGAACGACTTACTAGAGTAATCATAGAAAAACAGAGCAGTAAGTAAAACATCTGAAATCACGGTTGTTACTGCGCAGAAGATTTCAAATTGTCAGCTTTTTTTATAAGCTGCGTGTAAACAGCACAATGTCCTAGAACATAGTTTTTCAAAAAAGCACCCAGCTGTGCCAGCAAACAGTTTAAAGCCTAAAAGTTTACCTATGAAAAAAAAATACAAAAAAGCCTGAAAAGGAACATTACTTATCTCCAGTGTCCCTTGTGCGTCTGTCTAATAATTCAGTAGAAATCCTTTTCCTTCAATGCCCCCCGCCCCATCCAAGCAATCTTCCAGTGTGGGAAGGGTTAATAGAACGGAGGAGCTGTCACTGGCACTCAAAGTGCCCAACTATGTCTGCCCTTTCCAGAACAACCACATTTGAAAACAGACCTCAAAGCCCACACCTTGCATAGTTAACCAAAAATGAATAATAAATCTGGAGCCCACAGCAGAAAACCTAAAGACACAAACTTCTGTAAAATGATCTTTTTTCATAGGGCTTCCACTGAAATTCTGATATAGCTACATAGTTAGGCTGGCTAAAAAAAGACAAATGTCCATCCAGTGGATATATAATTAAAGAAAAATAATGAAAATAATGAAAAAGAAAAATATCTGACTCTTATGCAGTTATCTGTATAACAAATTTTATTACATTAAAAGGTATAAAGACACACAGACACAAGGTAAAAGCAAAAAAGGTATAACTAGTAAAACCCGGGATACTCCTAAAAATATATTTAAAACATATAGTAATTCCCCTTATTAACCATTTTGTGCAGAAGCCCAGAACCTGATCGTTAAAGCTACCCAGCATCCGCTAAAAGATAACCCCCTCCTGGTACTGTGGGCTCGTACAAATGCTCTCTGGTTCCCAGTCTCCTGACTGCGGGTAACAGACTGGTATCCCTTTACTGAAAGTCCATTGTAGTTCCTACACTAAAAGAATGGCTGCGGAAGGTAGATGTAGTTATCAGAACACAGAGCTCCATTCTGAGTGCTGTATTTCAAAAGGTTCTACAGTATTTGGGCTTTGTGGATTGATTTCACTACCTCTAACTTGTAACCAGTTGATACAATAGTAGACCGGCTACTTAAAAGTTTGGTTCTACACATTTTTGTTATTTTGGTTACCTAGGGTTGGACTGTGAGGTATTACAGTTATTGGTTTTCCTGTCTCTTGGCTTTGTCTCTAGGTGGGACAAGTCTTTTGGCCTGTTTAGCCCCCAGCATTTTAATTTTCTCTCCTGGTATTCTCTACTGTATCCCTTCTATTCATATGCTCAATTTTTATACTCATTGCTCCTAGTCTTTATGGAGATTTGAGGGGTTCCCCATTCGACCCGCACTTGGCACGTGATTAGGTGCGCTGTTTGCACTATACGGGATCGCTTGTTTATGACATTCAGCAGTTTTGTTGATGATGAATATCCCTTATCTCGTTTGTAAACATCTGGAAGCAATGGGCGGACATGTGGCATAGTTTTTCCTTTTATTTCTGCCATGTCTGTTACAAAAATATGGAAACAATACATGATTTGAAGGTGAGAAAATTTATTTATTTATTTATCGAGTTTATATAGCGCCCAAAGGGTTTGCTCAGCGCTGTACAATAGAGGGGGGGACAATACATGAAACAGAACAGTAACATCAAACAGCACACGAGGGGTAAGAGGGCCCTACTCTTTCGAGCTTACAATCTAGGAGGGAGGGGGGGGTAGAGGCACAGGAGGAAACGGCTGTGGGGGATGGAGTGGTAGGAGGAGGGAAGGGCAGCGGCTGTTCGGTGAGGGTGGGGTAGGCTTCCCTGAAGAGGTGGGTTTTCAGGGAGCGCCTGAAGGTGAGGAGGGAAGGTGACAGTCTGATGGATTGGGGTAGTGAGTTCCAGAGGATGGGGGAGGACCTGGAGACGTCTTGCAGTCGTGCGTGGGAGGAGGAGACCAGGGAGCAAGATAGAAGGAGGTCCTGTGAAGAGCGAAGGGTACGGGTAGGGTGGTACCTGGGAATCAGGTCGGTGAGGTAGTTAGGGGCAGTGTTGTGAATGGCCTTATAGGTCAGGGTGAGCAATTTGAATTTAATGCGTTGGGCAATGGGGAGCCAGTGGAGGGAGAGGCAGAGGGGGGTGGCAGAGGTGGAGCGGCTGGTGAGGTGGATGAGTCTGGCAGCTGAGTTCAGGATGGTCTGAAGAAAATGACAACGTTTTGCGTTAAAAGCGGAAGTGATACAACATTCTTTTGTTTTCACTGTGTGATGAGACACCTAGCTAACAGGTGGGAAGCCTCACATTCATAATTCACTGAGTGCACTGCTAGTAATACAGAGTCATGTCAGAGCTTACTGATTTTCAAAGGCGGCAAATTGTTGGTGCCTGCTTAGCTGGTGCCTCTGACTGAAGTCTCCAACTTATTTGCCATGTCGCAAGGTACAGTATGAAAGGTTATGACAGCATATAAAGTTTCCGTGAAAACACGGTCTGATAAGCACAAGTGTGGTCAACATTGTAAACTTACCGAAAGAGACAAAAGGACATTGTGCAGGATTGTGACCAGAATAAGAAAACAACTGCTGCAAAAGTGACTGCAGAGCTCAATCTCAGTCTTCCAAAGCCCATGTTCACAAAAACTGTGCGGAGGGAACTCCATGAGCAAAACATTCATGGGCGAGCTGCAATTGCTAAACCACCAGTGACCGATATTAATGCTCACAAGAGGAGAGAGTGGTGAAACATCCATAAATCGTGGACTATCAATCAATGGAAGACTGTAATATGGTCCAATAAATCGAGCTTCACACTGTTCCCAACCACCGGATTTGTTTTACCTGTGGCAAACACCGTCCCAAGCTTACGACCAGGACTGTCTTGTGGCAACAGTAAAACATAGAGGCAGCGCAATCATAGTTTGAATCCCATATCTTGGAATTCTGCAGGCCACACCATCACTTTGAAAGGTAGCAACTATGAACAAAATTTAGCTGACCATGTGCACCCTATGGTGCAGACACGGTTTCCCAAAGTCAGCACCATTTACCAAGGAAATAATCCTCCAGACTCACACAGCTGGTGTTGTCAAATCGTGGTTTGATGAGCATTCAGTCTCGCACCTTCCCTGGGCATCGCAGTTGCTGGACCTTAATATCATAGAGTCACTATGGTCAAATTTGAAGAACAAGGGACAGGCTTTTTCCACCTCCAGCATCTCTGCGAGCACTGGAACAATTTTTGCATGAAGAGTGGTATCATATTCCATTATCCACCATCCAAGACTTATAATTGTCAATTCCCAGGAGAATTCAGGCCATCTTTGATGCCAAGTATGGTCCAACACATTAGGTAATTATTTCTCTTTTACCTGGTGTTTCCATAATTTTGTCCAACCCCTGTATATACTGGCCACTTTATTAGGTACACCTATTCAATTGCTTGGTAACACAAATTTCTAAACAGCCAATCACATGGCAGCAACTCAATGCATTTAGACATGTAGACATTGTAAAGACAACTTGCTGAAGTTCAAACCGAGCATGAGAATGGGGAAGAAAGGGGATTTAAGTGACTTTGAATGTGGCTTGGTTGTTTTAGCCAGACG